CCGAAGAAACTTTAGCGATACAAGTCCTTTCTTAAATAAAACTGGTTTATTCTTTCTGAATACAACTTTGCAATACACTTAATTTCCCCAGTCACGCTATAACAAACGCTATAATTCACAACAAACGACTCACGTGCTCGACTCAATTGTCAGTCTCTATCTCTCTCTGCAGTTCAATTACATTGTTGCCGTCACTTCTTGGCGGTCTTATATACAATAATACCGTACATCTAGTAAACATTCGAGGTTTCACGAAGGTGCATGATTTTTTTAGAAGTTCATGACGTGTTACCAGCGTCACGTGACTTCCGCTGTCGTAACAGTATCAAACACAACCGTAAACTTTATATTTGGACGCTTCTTAAAAACCTATTTCCAAAATTCCCCAAGACGCCTATAGTCACTCCGACGGGTCAGCAGTAAATCTACGAACTAACGATGCTAAAGATCCGGGATCCGATTCCTCTTGATTGACAGAGTGCAGATAGCCTATTGTGCTAAAACAAACAAATGATAGTGACTGAAAACTAATAAATGTATCATCCACATATCTTGTATAACAAAACGGCTTAAACTCGGTAGGACATTATTTCATTAACTGGTTTCATGGAAATACACGAACTATAGCAGATACAAGGTTAACACTCATGCGCACTACATCAACTTGATTATAAGTTGTTCTTGTAGCAGATACAAGGTTAACACTCATGCGCACTACATCAGCTTGATTATAAGTTGTTCCTGTAGCAGATACAAGGTTAACACTCATGCGCACTACATCAACTTGATTATAAGTTGTTCTTGTAGCAGATACAAGGTTAACACTCATGCGCACTACATCAACTTGATTATAAGTTGCTTCTGTAGCAGATACAAGGGTAACACTCATGTGCACAACATCAACTTGATTATAAGTTGTTCCATTAAACACTAATTTCAATTTCTTAGCTGTAAAACACGTGTTTAAAAGTGTATTCTATATATCTGAAGAAGCTGACCACAAATCAACAGTCTCTTGCAACAGGCTGTTAGAATATACTAAAGTTGACCGTGTATACATACTGACACTTACAATCAAGTAGATGGAGCTGAGGTGTACGAAAAACAACAGGTAAATAATTTATATTTTGTTTTTACTGATTTAATTTCCAAAATGATGCAGATTAGTCTGGGAGTTTTGTTTAATGTCAGTATTTCACATCTGTAAATTAATCTGACATCAGAAGTCCGTCTCATGGCACAGATCACTACAATTCTGATAGCCGATCAGCGTGTCAAGCAGAATGTTCGAGATTAACAGCTCATATGTATGTACATATATAATGTGTGTTGATTCTTCTCTATATACATGTTAAATTTATATAGACATGAATATTGTCTGTATTCATAATGTCACTGTATTCACACAGAGAGAAAGAGATTCCTGTCTCAAAATTCTGTTTGGAACCAACAGGGTAAGTATTGTAACTAAGTTTTAGTATGATGACAATTATATAGTTTATCTCAGCTACACCCTTATTATAATGTTGATAAGTTTTAGTATGATGACAGTTATATAATGTTTATCTCAGTTACACCCTTATTATATTGTTGATAAGTTTTAATATGATGACAATTATATAATGTTGATCTCAACGTAACCTTATTATAATGTTGATAAGTTTTAGTATGATGACAGTTATATAGTGTTGATCTCAGCTACACCCTTATTATAATGTTGATAAGTTTTAGTATGATGACAATTGTATAGTGTTGATCTCAGCTACACCCTTATTATAATGTTGATACATTTTAGTGTGATGAAAATTATGTAGTGTTTATCTCAGCTACACCTTTATTATAATGTTGTAGCCCATGTTTTTATTTGACGTTTTAGAAACTTGTATTTTTCTTTAGTCAAAGGGCGTTTTACAACGCTAAAATTCGGGGTTCAATTACGCGCGGTGGACAGATCGAAATAACTGTACACTCTTTCTACATCTTCTCAATGAAGTGAGAAAACTCACTACTGTTGTGGCTGGAACCTATAGGTACATGAAATACTCGAGCTGCGTGAATTGTAAAATCAGTAATCTACGATGGAAATATACCATGTTAGGTTGAAATATTTCCCAAATAAAAAACAGTGAAAAGAAATAATTAATTTTACTGCACACTTAAAAGAACCACATAAAGCAGTCTTCCAGCAGTAACAATTACCCAGCTATTGTGAGTGCCTTATCAAACAGATGCGGAGTATTATATCAGAAGAAAGCAGCAAAGTTGGGAGAAGAGTAAGGAAGAAGATGTAGAAAGCCTTGCACAATTATTTTATCACATAAAATTATCGATTCTTTGGCATGCAGCCAATTCATACATTTTAGTTGAGGAGAATATGTGAATTAGGCTAAAGCAAAGTAGACGCACATCTTTAAGAAAAGCTCTTTAATTGGCAAAGTCAAATAATGTCGTAGATAAACAACTAATAGCGCCATCTAGGAAACATGGGGCTGTCAAAACAAATAGTCTGAAAACATCAAGGCCCCTCTTATGGAAGTTTAGAAGAACTCAAACATAACTATTTACTTTAGAATGATAAAAGCAAGCCACAAGACTCTAGCTGTTTGAACTGGAACTTAAACAGGACTGAAACAAAAGCCTTGAGTGAATGAAAACTTCTCCCAAAGGAACACGGAAAAAAGAAACTGTTATTAGTGTGGAAAAACCTGAATATTTCAGCTGATAAGTAATCAGCCATTAATAATTAATTAAGAGATAACATCCCGATGATGAGTCCCAGAACCCAACTAGATCAAAGAAATAACAAAGAGCTAATCAAATTCGATAACGAGGAACCCACTTTGATATATCAATAATGCTTGGAGACGGCTTGAATGGGTAACAAAGAAAAACTTTAATATAAGTTTAACATAACAGCAAATGTACAACATTTCGACAATGTTTTGTCATCATCAGGTACATTTGCTGTTATCTTAAACTTATATTAAAAATTTTCTTCGTTACCCATTCAAGCCGTCTCCAAGCATTATTAAAGAGCTAATCAAGCAATGTAAAACAGGAATTAACTAGATTTTCAGACAATAAGCCCACGTCCATCATATTACGTTAACTTCCTTCCGGCTAAACAACAGTATAAATTTTTAGAAACGTTTAAAATAAAAACAGAGGCTACAAGTAAAGAAAGCACAAGATAACAGCCAGATAAATTTCTATACTGGCATCGTAATAGTTACATGTTTTCGTACTTCACACCTAAGGAAAAATCATTCATATTATCAGATCTTTTCAAATTTAATTTATCCATATTTAGTATATTCCATTCTCTCAAAATCACGAGAAACTTGTATACTGTTACCTCTCTGGTCGTTTGTTAATTTCCCGTAAACATTCTTTCCGAAGAAGTCCAGAGATACAAGTCATTTCTTAAATAAAACTAGTTTATTATTTCTCAATACATCTTTGCAATACATTAAATTTCCACAGTAACTTTAACTTAACCACTTATCTGTTTCTATATCTCCCTGTCTGCAATTATTAATTATCTGGCTTTATTTGTCGCGCTTATATACAAGAATAGAGGTCGTCTAGAATGTACTCGGCTCTTCATGAACCTTCTAGACACTTATCACGTGACCTTCGCTGTCGTGACACTGCCTCTTCCTTAGTATTGTTCGTCCCGAACAATACCCACTTACATTAAACCAATAGATAATTAACAATAACTTAATTAAATGTACAGAATTTACAAACACAAAATTAAAATTAACAAAGTCTCTCAATTTTACGGGACGTATCTTCTTCCATACTGGTCTCCATCTCGTTGGCTTCTGCTTCACGTGGGGTTCATCTGCTCCATCAAGAAATGTCCTATTATCGGTAACAGTCACATCAATGGTAGTAACTTCATTAAAGGCGTCACCGTTCACTTCTCTAAACCGGGTAGAGTTTCTTCTTTGACAGTGGCTTTTTCAGGTGACACATCTTCAGCAGCATCATTTGTTCCATTGTTCACTTCGTTCCAACTGAAATGTCCTGGACCATGATAATGTCAAAGCCAGTTGGCATGTACCACCTTTGGCTTACCTCGCCGACCACATTTTATTCGGAAAGTCACGTCTGAAAGACGATCCACAATGTCATATGGGCCTTTCCATGGTGAAGGCAACTTAAAAGACTTCCCTTTGGTCTTCCTGGGATTATACAACCACACCTTGTCTCCTGGTACGAAGCTGACTTCAGTAGATCTCTTATCATAACATAGCTACATGGAATCAGCAGATGTTTTTAAGTTTGAACGCACTTGATGGTGAATATCATCCATCCTTTCAGATAACAGTTTCACGAACTCTGACACATTTTCAGGCAACTCTTCGTAAAATTGGCATCCTGTTAACAGATCCACTTGGAAACCGAAGTTCCCGACAAAACATCAGCTTTGCTAGAGTGTATCCAGTGGATTCATGGTCTGCTGTTCTATAGGTCATCAACAGCAGAGGGAGTAAGACATTCCAGTCATCTTGGCGATTATTACAAAACTTTGCCAATTCCTTTCCCAGTG